ATCCATACGATACGAACGAAACGTGCAAATGCACAAATTCCATAAATGACTCTATTCATAGAAGTATTAGACATATCTATGTTCTTGAATTTTCATGTGTCATAACATATTATCTTCTGTTTATGGGTCTCAGAATAATACTCAGCTGGAAAAGTTTATCCGTAAGGAATATTGGGATTATTACGTATTTTTCATGCATTTCATACATGTGCATTGACCCATGACCAGATGGTGTTATATACGCGTATATATGTAAATATATGTATATGGGATATGGGAAAAGGTTACGGCGTTATATACGCACCACCACCTGATCAGCTGGTATATGATAATGATGTTGCCCACAGTGGCTGAAATATTATTCAAACGGTGTTATACACGCATATATATATATATATATATATATATATATATATAAATGGCGTTATATACGCATATATATGTATGTATTCAAACGGCATTATATACGTGTATATATGTATGTATATATATGTATATGGGATATGGGAAAGGTTATGGCGTTATATACGCACCACCACCTGATCAGCTGGTATACGATGATGATTTTGCCCGCAGTGGCCGGTATGATATGATGGGATGCCCTCAGAGGCTGATGACGTTATGAAACATGTACCTATGCACGACATGACATTCATACGCATATGCATGACGCTAAAGGTAATTTATGATTTACAAAGTTATTCAGACTTGCAGGTTGAGTCATGTACTCTATATTTCTTCCATGTCTCTTATGTACTTACTTATGTGCCTTACATACTCGGTACATTATTCGTACTGGCGTCCCTTTTGCCTGGGGACGCTGCGTTTCATGCCCGCAGGTCCCGATAGATAGGTCGAGAACCCTCCACGTAGGCTATCAGCTCAGCGGAAGATGTTGGTGCGCTCCATTTGCTTCGGAGTTGCTTGTTTGGTTAGTATGATCTAGACGTGTATTGTCTGGTATGGCGGGACTCTATCCCGACCTTTATGACATTTATGTACTCTTAGAGGCTTGTAGACATATGTCGTGTATATGAAAGATTGTACGGCCTTGTCGGCCTACGTTTTGAGTTTATAAAGGATCATGTTGGCCTATTAGGCCAGTATGTCACGTGTATATGATGATGTAATAAGAAAGATACATTACGTTAGTACTCGGTCGAGTAAGGTACCGGGTGCCCGTTGCGGCCCATCGGTTTGGGTCGTGACACTTCTTTACTTAAGACAAGGTTAATCAAATAGCTACTTGTAATATCATAAAGAAGTGTTCAAATTACTAGAATTTTATTTGGCATTTTTTTTTTTATCTTTTGAAACTCTTCAATATATTGATATTATCCCTATCTTCTAAAATTATTTAAACGGCTTATATAATAAAAATTATACACAAATTAAAACGTTATCTTCTTTTAAATTTTATGAAGATAAATGCGTGAAAATGTTGATTTACTATTTTAAATTGTCTTTTAATAATTATATTTTAATTTTTTAAATTATGGATATACCTCATAAGGGGTGTACGTATAGAATTTTTATTGCATAGGGAGTGTAAGTATTTGATTCTATTTAGCTCCCATTTGGATATAAATTTTGGCTAATTTTTTCCAAAAAAATAAAATAAAAACTAAAAGATTGTTTATTCACGAATTTGATCAAATCTTGAAAAGAATTTGAAGAAAAATTTTTAAGTTCCAAAACTGATGCGGGCCAGTTTTTGGGTGAAAATTATTCTTTCACTCGCAAAATTTACACAACTTTAATTTCCAAAAATTATTTTTCAATACAACTTCAATAACTTTTTTTTTTCAAGTTTATACTAAATTTATGTACAAATGTTGGTTAAAATATAGGGTGTATGAGAAATTGAGTCATATTTATAAGTTGTTTAACGTAATTAACCCAATGATTAATCAATTAATTAATTATTAATGAGATATAAAATAGAACAGATACCAGTGATTTTTGAACAAAATAGAAACCGCCACAAGCCCTAGACTACAGTCCGCTGAACTGACTTCTCAATTCATCAGCAGTGGCCTGTTAGGGTCTCAACTCTCAATCGAAGGTCGAAGCCATGTCGAAAAGGTAAAAATTTGTAGCATTAGATTTGAAGGATTGGATTTTAAATTTTGTGTTTCCTGAGAGATTCTCAAGCAGTAGAACTTGTTATTTTTATTGTTTTTCCTTTAAACTACACTGCTTTACTTCTCCAAAATCACTTGTTAGTTCTGAAGTAGGTTTTCTTTTAAGTTTTTAGAGCATTGAGATTTAGTTGACGATGCCTTACTCGCCCTCTCTTTGCTACGGATGATTTATCATTAAATTACATGGTTCAGTAATCTCTCTTTTAACTCTTTTTGAAACTTTGTTGTGGTGCCTAGCTTTGTCTGTTTGTGATGGGACTTCAAAAACTTGTCACTGAAAATGCCGTTAAGGAGCTTTAGTCGTTCATTTGAGATGGTTTATAATGTAGGGATTATTTAATATTGGATGTTTGCTTTGTTCTATTAAAAATTATTATACTATGTGTATTTTAAAAGTTGTACTTTTAACAAAATAAAACCTTGGTTAAAAGTGCTTTGCTTGAGCCGAGAGTTTAGGGGAAACCTCTCTACCTTCACAAGTCAAGGGCTGGGTACACGCTATTCTTCCCATACCCCACTTGTGGGATTACATTAGGTTTATTGTTGTTGTAAAACATTGGTTACAACATTAAGGATTGTTTTTTTCATCTAATAGTTTTAATCAATGTATTGCTTATTCCCCATTCTTATTCCACATTTATCCCGCATAACTTATGCGTAAAAGAAAAAATGAACCAAACATTGTTTAAAATGATGCAATGATAGATGTGGAAAGGAAAAGTGAAACTAAACAAGTAAACATTGTATTAACTATGTTTAAATTTTATGTGGGGATTATTTCTCTCCTACTCTCAACCAAACATCAGCCGAGTTATTGATCATGAAATGGTTGTTTAAACTTATTGTTTATTTTGTGATGTTTACGGCCACTATAACAGAAAAGAAATGAACTGCCTGCTGTATAAGTAAAATCTTTCATTCTAGCATTTCCTGATCATTATCATTGTACTGTCTATACAATACATTGTAGTTGTTGGGGTTGGCGAAGTTTATTGTTAATCCTAAATGAACTATTCTCTCTTGTAGATAGTCATATGCACTCATATGCATTTTTCGAAAATCTTTTCCAGGGTTCTTTGCAAGTTCTTTGCACGTGGAGCATGTCTAAAAGGAGAGCACTGTGATTTCTTGCATGATTCGGAAGATGTTCCAAATAATGTACTGTTCTGGAGATTTTGGTTAGAGTGTAAAGCTTTGACTTGCTTCTTCATTGTCTAATTGCTTTTACCTGATCTATTGTTGCAGGTGTGCACATACTACCAAAAAGGAATTTGTGCCTTTGGCAGCAGGTGTAGATATGAACATGTTAAAATTACTCGATCACAACCTTCACTTCCATCTTCATCAGCTAACATTGTTGAGTTGAAGAGAGTTAATGCAACTGATCAGTCAATTTGCTCTTCCTCTACTGCTGGTAATTGTCCACAAGGGAAAAAAGAGGAGCATATGAAAACATGTGAAACAAGGGAAAAGCAGCTTGATTTATTGAAGCATAGTCAGGAGATAGAGTGCGGTGTATGCCTTGAGTGTGTTCTTTCTAAGACAATTATGGCCGAGCGGAAATTTGGGATACTTTCTGAGTGTGATCATCCATTTTGTATATCGTGTATCAGGAATTGGCGCAGCAGTTCTCCTTCAATTGGTATGGATGTCAATTCTACTTTGAGGGCCTGTCCTATATGCCGAAAGCATTCATATTTTGTAATTCCAAGTGTCATTTGGTACTCAACGAAAGAAGAAAAGCAAGAAATCATTAACAGCTATAAAGCAAAACTCAGGTTCCACTGATTCTCCTCTTCCTATTTATTTTAATTATGTCATCCCCTTGGATTCTGAACTCGAATAGCTTTAAGAGCTATTAGTATGGATGTGACTTGTCCTAAAATGAAAGACTAACAGTTTCTGAAATGATTTATGTGAATTATTTAGTGAAGAGCTTAACTCATGCATTAAGATATCATATGCTAATTTCAATCATGTTATACCAGTTTTGTAAGAATATATGTTGAATATCTTCACTAGGATGGTATTCTATTTCAGGATAACACTTGTTTATTGGTGGTAGTCTGAATTGAAAAATTAGCTTTTATACTTTGTGGGAGATGGCAAAGTGTTGATGGACGAGGCACTTATTAGGAGAAGATGGCAGTCATACTTCCATAAACTGTTGAATGAGGAGGGAGATATACGCATTGTGCTGGGTGACTTGGAGCACTCCGAGAGTCGGCGGGATTTTGGGTACTGTAGGCGGATTACGGTAGAGGTGGAAGGGGCGATGCGTAAGATGTGCAGGGGCAGAGCGACGCAGCCAGACGAAATTTCGGTGGAATTCTGGAAGAGCGCGGGGCGGGCAAGTTTGGAGTGGCTCACTGGGCTGTTTAATGTTATTTTTAAGACAAAGAAGATGCCCGAAGAATGGAGGTGGAGTACGATGGTTCCGCTTTACAAGAACAGGGGTAATATCCAAAATTGCAACAATTATAGGGGTATCAAGTTGTTGAGTCACACTATGAAGGTTTGGGAGAGGGTGGTGGAGGCCAGGGTGAGGAGGTGCGTGTCTATTTCCGAGAATCAGTTTGGATTCATGCCGGGGCGTTCGACTACGGAAGCGATTCATCTGGTAAGGAGATTAGTGGAGCAGTACAGGGAGAGGAAGAAGGATTTGCATATGGTGTTTGTTGACCTTGAGAAAGCATACGATAAAGTCCCAAGGGAGGTCCTGTGGAGGTGGTTGGAGGTTAGCGGCGTTCCGGTAGCGTACATTAGGGTGATTAAGGATATGTACGATGATGCTAAGACTCGGGTTAGGAATGTGGGGGGTGACTCGGAGCATTTCCCTGTGGTGATGGGGTTGCACTAGGGATCGGCTCTTAGCGCATTTTTATTTGCCTTGGCGATGGATGTACTGTCGCGACACATCCAAGGGGATGCGCCTTGGTGCATGCTATTTGCTGATGATATAGTGTTGATTGACGAGACGCGTAGCGAAGTTAACGCGAGGTTGGAGGTTTGGAGACAGACCTTGGAGTCTAAAGGTTTCAAACTGAGTAGAACCAAGACAGAATACTTGGAGTGCAAATTCAGTGACGGGACCCATGATGCAGACGTAGAGGTTAAGCTTGATGCTCAAGTTATCCCCAAGAGAGCGAGTTTTAAGTATCTCGGGTCTATTATCCAAGGTAACGGGGAGATTGACGAAGATGTCGCACATCGCATCGGAGCGGATGGATGAAGTGGAGGCTCGCTTCCGGTGTTTTGTGTGATAGGAATGTGCCGCTAAGACTTAAGGGTAAGTTTTATCGAGTGGTGGTTCGACCGACTATGCTGTATGGGGCTGAGTGTTGGCCAGTCAAGAACTCCCACAGTCCCATGTGCAGAAGATGAGAGTAGCAGAGATGAGGATGTTGAGATGGATGTGTGGTGTACCAGGAGAGATATGATTAAGAATGAAGCTATCCGGGACAGAGTGGGAGTAGCCTCCGTGGAGGACAAGATGCAGGAGTCGAGGCTGAGATGGTTCGGACATGTTAAGAGAAGAAGCATTGATGCTCCTGTCAGGAGGTATGAGAGGTTGGCCATGGAGAGTTTGAGAAGAGGTCGGGGTAGGCCTAAGAAGTACTGGGGAGAGGTGATTAGACAGGACATGGCACTGCTTCAGCTCACTGAGGACATAACCCTTGATAAGAGGGTGTGGAAGTCGAGGATTAAGGTAGAAGGTTAGTAGGTAGTTTATAGTTGTTCATCGACAGTCTTAGTAGCATGCATGTCCCTTCATATTCGTAGATTTCTATTACGTTATGTGGTTTTGTTCGCCTCAGTATTGTATTCCCTACTGCTATTATTTGGTACTACTTATCCTTTATCTCTCCCTTTTTTTTTCTCTTCCTTCCTTGCTTTCCTCTTCTTCTTCTTGCCCTTCCTGAGCCGAGGGTCTATTGGAAACAACCTCTCTACCTGCATTAGGTAGGGGTAAGGTCTGCGTACAGACTACCCTCCCCAGACCCCACCTGTTGGGATCAAACTGGGTTTGTGTTGTGTGTGTTCTGTTATACTTTGTGGGATCTTATTTATAAAATGTCCATACCTCATTAAATGGTGGCGTGGTTTTTATTTCTTTTCGGATTGTTAAAAGCAAGTATATGGATATCACGCAAGACTTTTTGATTTTTAATTTTCAGATCAAAGTAGTTCGGGATGCAGAGTGTATCTCAGTGTTGCCCGAAACTTGTGTATCTATAAAATGCTTCCTCCTTCCCCTTCTACCGGCAAAAGAAAGCTTAGAAGTGAACTCATAGTGTATTTTTTCCTCTGAAGTAACTTTTTCTGTCAATCTTCGATTTCAGGTCTATTGACTGCAAGAATTTTGACTTTGGCAATGGGACCTGCCAATTTGGAGCTAGTTGTTTCTACAAGGTACGGAATGTTAAGACATCTGTTTATCTTTATATGCTAAATAGCACTTGTATATTTTAATTAGTAATTGTGAGAAACAATACAAGGAAGAAGGAATTGATAGAAATTCAGCTTGATTATTCCGTCCAGCTATTCGGGGTTAAATAAATAAGTATACATGTCCTAAGAAAGGAAAGAAAATCAAATTATCTGATTAGAGGATCCTAGAATTTCTACAAGATTCTAATAAATACTTATAATATTCTAACACTCCCTCTCAAGCTGGTGCATAATCATATGTACCAAGCTTGTTACAAATATAGCTTATATGATGGCTAGTGAAGGATTTGGTGAAAATATATGCAAGCTGAGCATTTGACTTCACGAATTTCATAACATTGTCTCTTGAAAATATCTTTTATCGGATAAAGTGGCAGACAATCTCCTTTTCAGAAAAAAAAAAGTGACAGACGATCTCAATGTGTTTAATTGTCTCATGGAACGCCGAATTTGATGCAGTATAAAGAGCACTTTAATTATCGCATACAAGTTTCATTTGACTGATTTCTCCAAACTTCAATTCTCCTAGTAGTTGTTTAATCCAAATTAGATTTGTTGGATTGAGGTAGGAAGATTAGTGATAAAAGAGGAAATCAAAGAGAGAATTTTTTTTATATTTGTGAAGGATAGTTTTCATTCACTTTTCTTAATTTCTCTTGATTTGTTTTGATAATTCAAATGGCTAGAATACATGGGGTATTTATAGTAAAACTCCTACATGCATCTAGTCTACTTCTTATGCGGACATACTAATTATGTTCACATAAGTTCACACATTACATAAATAAGTTCACACCCTAGTACATGTATGTAGCTACTAATCTAGTTCATGAACTAATGTGAACTAGTGTGGACTAGTGTAGACAAGTTTGAACATATGTGAACAAGTCTAGACAAATGTGGACATATGTGAACTAATGTGGACAAATGGGGACAAGACAATACATTAATTTAACACTCCCCCTTAATGTTTTGTTCTTGGACTCCCAAAAGCTCACGAAATTTGATGAACTTCTCCTTGGGTATCGCCTTGGTAAAAATGTCCGCAACTTGATCCTCGGACTTGCAAAACTTTGGCTCGATCACTCCTTCTTCAACTTTTTCTCTGATAAAGTGATACTTCACTGCTATGTGCCTTGTTCTGCTACTGTAAATTGGATTCTTTGCCATTGCTATGGTTGACTTGTTGTCACAAAACAACTTTGTTGCGTTGTCTTGCTTTTCTCCAACATCTTCTAAAATTCTTCTAAGCCAGACTGCTTGAGAAGTTTCAATTGCTGCTGAAATATATTCAGCTTCTGCTGATGATTGTGCTACTGTTTCTTACTTCTTTGATTGCCAAGAAAATGCTCTCGATCCAAGTGAAAACTCAAAACCAGATGTGCTTTTCATGTCATCTTTTGAACCTGCCCAATCACTGTCACAAAATCCAATTAAAGTTAATTCTTCACCCTTGAAATACTTGATGCCATAAGCCAAGGTTCCTTTGATTTAACGAAGAACTCGTTTGGCTGCTCCAAGGTGAATATGATTGGGACTTTGCATAAACCTTGACAACAAACTAGTAGCAAACATTATATCGGGCCTCGTAGCCGTTAGATACATCAAACTACCAATGATACTTCTATAAAGAGTGCTGTCCACTTTTCTTCCACCATCATTTTTCATCAGCTTCTCATTTGAAGTGAGTGGTGTTGGTACTGCTTTGCACCCAAACATATTAAACTTTTTAAGCATTGCTTCAGCATAGATTTGCTGAGAAACAAATACTCCATCATCCTCTTGAGTAACTTCAAGACCAAGAAAATGATGTAATAGACCCAAATCACTTATTTCATATCTTTTCATCATGTCTTTTTTGAACTCAGTTACTGCAGCCTCATTGTTACCGGTAAAAATCAGATCATCAGCATAAATCGCAACAATAAGAATAGAGTTACCTTGCTTCTTGACATAGAGAGTAGGCTCGCTTTTGCTTTTAATGAACCCACTTTGCAAGAAGTACTTATCAATTTGACTGTACCATTGCCGGGGTGCTTGTTTCATTCCGTACAAGGCCTTCTTGAGCTTGTATACTTTATCTTCTTCTTCTTTTATCACAAAGCCATCAAGTTGATGATTTCTTCTTCAAGTTCATCATTCAAAAAAGCTGATTCCACATCAAGTTGATATAATAACCATCCCTTTTGTGCTGCTAATGCAATAAGTGTCCGAATTGTATCTTTGCGGGACACCGGTGCAAAAGTTTCATGATAATCAACATCAGCCTGTTGTGAATACCCTTTTGCAACCAATCTTGCTTTGTGCTTCATGATGGAGCCATCTGGATTATTTTTTATCATGTAAATCCATTTTACTCTAACAATTTTTCGATTTGCTGGCTTGTCTACCAACTCCCAAGTCTGATTTTTCTCAATCATATATAGCTCTTCTGCCATAGCCTTCTTCCAAACTTCCTCCTTAATTGCTTCTTCAAAACTTGCTGGCTCAACCATGCTATAGTTGCATGAAGCATAAATGTCAGCAAGGTCTCTCATTTTAACCGGAGTACTTGTTGGACTCGAAGTGCTAGAGCTTGCTTCGTTGCTTGAAGGTGAGGAAGGATCAACTTCTCGAACTTCTTCCTCCTTATTTTCTTCTTCATTCTCAGCCACCACTATGTTTTTTGTAGCCTCATTCTTTTCCCAATTCCAACTGGCTCCTTCATCAAACAACACATCTCTGGTTGTGATGACATTTTTCCTCTTCAAGCTATACATTCTATAGCCCTTTGATTTTGAGCTATAGCCAACAAAAATGCACTTCTTACTTGTTTCATCAAGCTTGCTCCTCTTTTCTTTCGGGATTTGAGCATAGCAAATGCACCCAAAAACTTTTAAGTGCTTCACTGAAGGTTTCCTCTTGCTCCAAGCTTCCAAGGGGGTCTTATTTTGCACTGCCTTGGTCGGACACCTGTTTATCAAGTATACCTCCGTATACACTGTTTCAGCCCAAAAGGTATTTGGCATTCCTTTCTCTTTAAACATAGTTTTTGCCATTTCAACAACCGTTTGATTCTTTCTTTTGGATACACCATTTTGTTGTGGTGTGTACCCAACGGTTAGTTGCCTTTCAATGCCTTCATCCTCACAAAATTTCTCAAATTGTTTTGAGGTATATTCTTTACCTCGATCACTTCTTTGCACCTTTAAATATTTTCCACTTTGTTTTTCCACAAGGCTCTTGAATTTTTTAAAAATGCCATACACCTCAGATTTTTGTTTCATGAAATAAACCCAAGTCATCCGTGTATAGTCATCAATGAACAAGATAAAATACTTGTTACCTCCAAGAGATGTGGTACTCATTGGACCGCACACATCGGTATGGACCAGCTCTAAAGCTTTGATTGCTCTCCAAGCTCCGCCTTGAGGGAATGAGTTTCTATGGTGTTTTCCTATAGCACATCCTTTTCTTCAATTTTTGGCAGCCCATATACCATTTCTTTTTCCTGCAATAATTTCATTCCATTAAAGTACAAGTGCCCTAGCCTTTTGTGCCATAGCCAGGATTCATCTTTCACTTGTGCTTTCATGGCTACTTCTCCCCCATAATTGAAGGTTAATGAGAAGCTTCTTCCTTTTTCCATCATTGCTTTTGCCATCAATTCGTTTCCTCATTTTTTATCATAAATTGTGCAACAATTGTTTTCAAAATAGACAGCATATCCATTTTCCACCAGCTGCCCAACACTCAATAAATTTTGATCTAAATCTGGAACCAAAAGTACATTATGAATGAACTTTGTACCTTCCTTTGTTTGGACACGGATTGAGCCCTTTCCAATTACTCGAACAATGGCACCATTTTCCATTTTCACTTCGGCCTTCACTTTGTCATCCACATTTGTAAAAATACTTTTGTTTCCGGACATATGATTTCTCTTTGGCCATTTGACAGCATGCAAAGAACAGGCCTTGCTCTCCTTTTTCTTCAGAGACTTTTGCTTGTTGTTGATTCTTGAATCTACAATCCTTCTCCACATGACCAAACTTTTTGCAGTGGTTGCATTGTGGCTTTTCTTGAAACCAACAATCCTTGTCAACGTGGTTGCTTCTTTTGCAAATTTCACATTTTTGTTTGGAGTTGTTGGAGCTGTTTCCTCGTTGATTTCTTCCTCCTCCACGGCCTGGTTTGCCTCCTTTTGATGATTCTCCTTGTGATTTTGTGGACACATTGAGCTTAGATTGTAAAGCACTCGCAATAGATTTTTCGGAGTGTCTTAACTACCTTTGCTCGTGTGCTTGTAGTGATGCCATCAACTCACGGATGTTCAACTTTGTGATGTCCTTAGTCTCCTCAATAATAGAGACTATGGGATCATATTTTTCAGTCAAACTTATCAAGATCTTTTCCACAATTTTCTTATCTTCAACGGCTTCTCCATACAATAGCATTTGATTTGCTATTTCAACAACTTTGGAGCAATATTCTTTTAAACTTTTTCCATCTTTCATCTTCAAGTTTTCAAACTCACATCTTAGAGTTTGAAGCTTGATGTTTCGTACACGTGTATCTCCTTGAAATTCCTCACGTAGAGCCTCCCAAGCCTCATTTGATGTTGTGGCTCTCATGATTCTTGGAAAGATGACTTCACTCAATGCTTGTTGAATATAAGCAAGAGCTGCATCTCTCCTTTTTGTCTCCTTTAGTGTTCTTGTTTATGCATCTGTGAGTTCAGCTCCTTCTTCTGGTTCATTATAACCATTTTGAACTAGTTCCCACATATCTTGTGCTTGAAAAACTGTTTTAGCTTTCAAGTACCAAAAATCATAATTTTCTCCATTGAACATAGGTATGGATAGTTGAGCCACTCCTTGTCCATTAGTTAAAGCCATTGTTTAGCTTTTCTTAACGCCCAACTTTTTAAAAGAACGGGCTCTGATACCAACCTGTTGGATTGAAGTAGGAAGATTAGTGATCAAAGAGGAAATCAAAGAGAGAATTTTTTTTATATTTGTGAAGGATAGTTTTCATTCACTTTTCTTAATTTCACTTGATTTGTTTTGATTATTCAAATGGCTAGAATACGTGGGGTATTTATAGTAAAACTCCTACATACATCTAGTCTACTTCTTATGTGGACATACTAATTATGTTCACATAAGTTCACACATTACATAAATAAGTTCACACGCTAGTACATGTATGTAGCTACTAATCTAGTTCATGAACTAATGAGAACTAGTGTGGACTAGTGTAGACAAGTTTGAACATATGTGAACAAGTCTAGACAAATGTGGACATATGTGAACTAATGGGGACAAGACAATACATTAATTTTAACAATTCGCAAGTTGCACAACCATTGCTCAGTATTGTGTTTCTGCACTTGATTGGACGACCACATTTTGTTTCTTGTTCTTCCAAAGTACCTACTTACTCGATCGGACAACCACATTTTGTTTCTTGTTCTTCCAAAGTACCTTCTTACCTCTTACCGGGACATAATATCTAGACGTAGATCGCTTATCCGAGGGTGATCTTGCCCGATTAGCGTCAGTGTGTCCAACAATTTGCTCATGGCCTCGATCCTCAAAAAGCAATCTTTTGCCTAGGGCTAATTCTATATATCGAAGAATACGAACAACTGTATCCCGGTGTTATAAATAGCGCCCGCCTCAGCTCTAATAGCGTGAGGCGAGGCGATGTCAGTGTCGCTACAGACCCTCTGTTGCGTTGCGTTTCAAAATAGCGCTTGCCTCTGCCTGTGTGGCGAGAGGCGACAGTGTCGCGAGAAGCGAGTTTAGCGTCGCTTTTTTTAAAAAAAAAAAAAAGAAAAAGGGCAAAGACTAAACAAAAAGTGTCGCGATTAGGGCTTGACAACAGAGCTTCTTCAACTTCGAACAAAACAACGGAGCTTCATCTGAACTCGCGATTAGGGCTCGCATTTACTGCGCCATCGTCTTCTTCATCTGAAAGCTTGAGGTTTCTGCCAAGTGACATTTTCTTCTTCATCAAGTTTCTGCCATTGAAAGACCAGGTATGCTTCTCTGAGTTTCCTTTCTTTCTTCTTTTTCTTTCTTCTTTCTTCTCTTCTTCTTTCTATTTTTTTTCTCTGTTTTTTCTTGAAAAGAACAGAAACAGAAGTCTGTTTTTGTGCTCTATTTTTCGAGCAAAATACAGAGGCTCCTCCCTTCTTCTTTCTTTTTCTCTTAATTTTTTTTTTTGGCTCTGTTTTGGCAAAATAACAGAGGCTGTTTCGAGGCCCTGTTTTGGCAAAATAACAGAGGCTGCTGCTTCTCTTATCAAACACTATGTTTTTTCCAGGCCCTGTTTTGTTTGCCTTTTTTTCAATTATTGACTTATAGTCTACTATGAGTCTATGACTATCTATTGAGTCTTTAATTTTTGAATGATATATTTATTAATATATTATCGTTATTGAGTTTTTAGTTATATGTATATAATATTTTATGTTTTTGTATAAATTGTCGCTTCACATCAAAAAGGCGAGCGCTTCGCTGCACGCCTCTCGCCTAGTGAAGCGGGCCCTCGTCGCTATTTGTCGTCGCACGCTATCCAAAACATTGTTGTATCTCAATAACTATCACATGGAGAGTCCATAAATTGACTTACAACACCCATAGGAAAGGTAATATAGGGTCGAGTCACTATAAGATAGTTCGACTTACCAACTAGCCACCTACACCCTCCAGGATCACTAAAGGGCTCCCCCTGTGATAACAAAAGCTTAATATTCGGGTCCATAGGAGTATCAACTAGTCTATAGCCTGTCATACCTGTTTTCTCAAGAATGTCTAGGGCACACTCATGCTGTGAGATGACAATTCTTGATTTGGACTAAGTGACCTCAATGTGTAGGAAATACTTCAATCTGCCAAGGTCCTTCGTCTGGTAGTGCTAAAAGAGATGCTGCTTCAATTCAATTATACCATCTTGATCATTGCCCGTAATCACTATATCATCAACTTAAAATACCAAATAAATGCACATATTTAGAGCAATATATTGATAGAATACTGAATGATCAGTCTCTCTGCAAGTCATATCAAACTCCTGATTAACATGTTGAATTTACCAAACCATGCTTTTGGAGACTGTTTTAAACCATAAACGTACCGACACGACCATATACTCATTCTCAAGATCACCATAGAGAAAAACATTCTTAATGTCCAACTAGTAAAGACACCAAAGTCGAACAACTGCCCTGGATTTAAAGAGATGGAAATATGCTATTTTAGCCACAGGGAGAATTATCACTGTAATCCAACCCAAATATCTGAGTATACCCTTTGGCAACAAGGTGGGCTTTGAGTCGATCAATTTGACCATCTAGACCAACTTTGACTACATACACCCACCATCAGACGGTAGATTTACCTAGAGGTAGATGAACAAGTTATCGAATACTACTAGCATTTAAAACAAATATCTCTTTGATCATAGATGACTTAGCGCTTAAGGATAGAAATTAAGGATAAAGATGACACAGGAGCATGATGGGGTGATCATAAATAATGATAACTCGAACATCTATGGATCGAATACCTTTTCGGAGTGCAATTGGAGGACTAGGAGGAAACAGGTCCACATTAGGACATGACGTGAATCATCTAGACCTGATGTTGGACACTAACAGTGTTGATTAGTCAAGAATGGTGGAGCTGTAGAAGGTTGAACTGGAGCTGTTAGAGCTGTAGGTGGGAACTTGGGCATTAGGTTGTGGAGCTAGATCATGAAACTGGAGCTGTAGGTGGTGGAGTTACGGAGAAAGGTGAAGGAGAGATAGTGGTCGAATCTCTAAAAAATGGAATTGGTAATACCTCAGAAATCTAAGTGATCACTTGAACCGGTAAAGTATGGTTGGTTTTCAAAAAAGGTAACATCACCCGACACAATACACCGCTGGAGGTCAGGTGAATTATATCGATATTCCTTTTGCGCCCTCGAGTAACGCAGAAGTACGCATTTAAGTTAAGTGCATGCGGATTTAAGGTTATGAACAAAACATGTGCTTCCAAAGACACGAGAAGGAAGATAATACAAAGGTAAGTGGGGAAATAAAACAGAATATGGAACTTCTTTTTGGTTAGCTGAGGATAGCATACGATTAATAAGATAACAATTTATGTTAGTTTGTGTAGGCTCTATTTGTTATCTACTGTTCCTTTCATCGAAATTTATGTGACAGATTTTCTCTGTTGAATGATGTTTGACATAATGCTACAAGTAGTATCTTTGAACCTTTATCAAGAATCCAAAATATGAAATTTATTTAACTACTCAAAACTTAAATGAATGTTCTCTCCATCAGTTAATTTCTAACTTCTAGCTTATTATCCCCTTTATTAATATTATATAGTGGTGTTTGACTAGTTAAGTGTTTAAAAATGGAAGAAAGACTTTACATAATTTAGACATGAGCTAATTATGTATAATATGCCAAAAATATCAGAAGAATTCTATGGTCTGAAACATGTTATGCCATTTCTAGAAGAGAGAGTAATTAAGGGCAAAATAGGAATGGTATGACTAAAAAGTTCCCAAATATAGAGTGTTATCAATGTTTTGGAACAGACTAAAAATGAAAATGAAATGGAGGGAGTTGTCCCAGAGCTTTGGTTCAGCGGTGAGGATGCGCTCGTCAAGGGCTTGAACCCTTCCCTGGATAAAGACCGGTAGAGGGTCAGGCTCATGCTCCTCAGGCTTTGGACCTGTGGGCTAATTGGATTTGGTTAAAAGCTCACTGGGGATTTCTCCAATATTAAAAAGAAGAAATGGGGGGAGTATTTTCTTTGGTTATTCATAATATGGTATAAAATCAAGAGCGTTTCATACTTGAGCCAATTCAAATTTTAGTAAAAGAGGGCTATATCAGAATTAGTAATTTAGTTTTTCACTTTTTATTTGCTCCATACAAAAGTATTTTTTGGATAATTGCTCTTTACAAAAGTATAAGCACCTGCCTAAGTAGATGCCTTTTCCTGCTTCTTTTTCGCTAAATGTATTCTTTATTTTCATCAATTTAATTATCACAGATTGTGCTTCTTATTTTCATGGAATCGACACTCCGGTAAAACTTCTATATACTGTAAAATTGACCTTTACAGTCTATTTCACGCTTTGACCAGGTGAAGTTTTAGACGTCAAATAGTCACAGTATGTGTATATTGAGTGGCATGGCATTTCTAATACGCGTTTCCCTGCTCATGGATATTGTGTGTGTGTGTGTGTGTGTGTGTTTTACACTTGGTGGTGTCTGCTACTAAGGAAGTGAATTTCGGAAGTCCTATGTGCGATAGATAAGTTTATTGTCGTATGCCTTTGGTGCGAATCATTTACTGTGTAGCTACTTAAATAATGTTCTTTATAATATTCTGGGAATTTCCTTAATTTCTCATAAACTAACCTTAAAGGGTGTGGTTGACTTATATGAGTCGTTTTACGGAAAATCTCTTTGGTGTCTTACAGCACACTGTCAAGCCAGGCTCAAAGCTGTGGAATTCTACCCTCAAGCCTGACTTACGTGGCTCAAGCTTCTCAGACGCAGATGAAACGGAAAGCGGCTTTGATGGAGATATGGAAAGCTTCAGAGCTTTGTTTGAGGACTATAGGGATGATGACTTGGAAGAATTTGCCGAAGCAATGGCTTTTATGCTATGGCTGCGCGATTCTGATACAAGTGATGATGAATGATTGTTGGATGTAACCTATGTAGATATTGGAATTTGGGTAAAGGTGTTCTTAATCACTGAACAAATTTTAATCTGATATGAACCTTCTGAATTTCGCTTTTGGTTTTGGTTAAGGTAATGCTTATTGACCTTGGGTCTCTTAATTAGTTTATTTTGCCCCATGATATTTTTTTTGCTTTTAGTTTCTCAATTGTTAGTTGCTCACTATTATTTTGTAATATATGCTGTAATCTTGGATTTGGTTGATGAGCAAGTAGTTCAAACGTTAGCATTGATGGACTAATTATTCTCATCTATTCCGGAAAATAATTATTTCTCGTGTAGGATAGTAGTTCTCCTTCATGAGAGTTCTTGTGTTTCCCCGTTTCCTCTGGTTTTTGGTTTTGCATTCCCGGAAGAGAAGGGAATCGGACTAGGTGCATAGATTGGTTTGACTTAACCATTTAAAGATATGTATCTGACACTTTTAGTATTCTTATTTAACCTTTTTCTCAAATTCTCTTATTTGAAGCCAAAAATATGTGTAACCTAATGAGCGTTAACGTCATTCCTCGCATTGATTACTTTTTCCCGAAGCGTTGCTAATGATTTGCCCTTTCAAGGAACAGTTTGTGCTAACTCAATTGCGTGCCCAGCCTAGTTTAGAACTTCAATTTTAATTAAGAGGCAATAAAGATTGCTAGAGTTTGAGGGTATTCTAATAAGCTGGCTATTACCCATCCTATAGAATTTACTTTGGCATCAGAGTGTACAATTTTTTTGAAAGAAATGGCAGTGTGGTTTTGATGTTGAGAGTGGAGCAATCCTGGTTATATCATAATAACTTCTCCCGTGGTCCTATAACTTCTTTTTTCGTTTTTCGTTTTTCCTTCTTTCTTCCAGGTAATTTCAATTTCTTTGTGTGCTTTTAACAGAAAAACTATATGATACCGATGCAGGTTGCACCCCAATGTCAAGAGATCAGTTCAAATTGCTATATGATACCGATGCAGGTTGCACCCCAATGTCAAGAGATCAGTTCAAATTGCATTTGTTTATCCTAATATTACAATATAAGTACTCGCTTCCTTCATTTTCATTTATTTCAATGACAAATTATAAGCAAATGAAAAAGGAGTCAAGCTTGATGCTCTTTAAAGCTATACCTTAAAGTTTTATTGACAATAATCTTGGATGGAATCTGCGCAGGGGCGGAGAGAGTACAAGTTACGGGTTCAAACGAATCCAGTAGCTTCTGCTTAGACCTTATATATGTATTAGGAAATTCATTAAATATGTGTAAATATTCGATTGAAAATCCAGTAACTATAACGAGCTATGGGTTCGGCAGCCAGTTTAGAAGCCATAAACTTCAAATTCTAGCTCCGCCTCTAGACCAACATTCCCCCTACCCCCCCCCCCCCCCCTCCCCCAAGAGGATATCATGTAGACTTCTTTTTTCTTTAATCTGCACATTAGCTAAAAAACAAAATATACGAGCAACAAAATCAAGCCTTCAAATATCTGTAATAAGAAGCATTCACTACAAAGGCTCATAACTCAAAAAGAAAAATAAATGAAAGAACGTATCCCATTTTCCAGAATAGAAGAGAATAGAAACTTGTCCATATAAGACATGACATAATAATATTTACATTAATTCTCCATTTTCAAGAATATACATGCCCATCCTTAGAGCAAAACACAGCCTATAGCAACCTAATACGTATCACAATATGAATAAAAATTAGACAATTGATATAGCCCAGCAGCTTCTTCATGTTGATCTCGATGTAGTGACTTCTGTGCTCGCCAATCCCCAAGAACAAATGACTATTCAACAACGATATGATATTATATGTCAAGACTGAATATGATGACTAACCTAATAGTTACACAAATATTACACCCTGAATAACATTACACTCAGTGATATTAACGGACATGCTTCTTCATCCGGATCTCGAAGTAGTGACTTCTGTACTTGGCAATCCCAAGAACTAAGGAATATTCAACAACAATAGGATATAGTATGTCAAGACTGAATATAATGACTAACCAACTTGTTAAGATGGCCTCCTGATTCAGTAGGATCCAGCTCAATCTGGGCACGAAGCTCCAGATAAGCCTCTGATATTATCCACCTCTTTACAGGAATTGTTTGTTGGCATCTACTTATCCTTTGCAGGTAAGAAATAACGAGTAATACCCAAATCCTTTTTCACTGTATTAGATCGCTTCTGAGGCCTGAGCCATGCCTGTACCTCTTCTTGAATTTGTTTTGGTAACTCCTTCAAGACATCCTGGTCAATCTCATCAATGTCGTAACTCCAGGAAGGTCTTTTAAACTGGCTGCAAAGACGAGCATCAACACTGGACTCACCCCTTGTAAGTGAATTTTCTTGAGGAGGTTCACTATGAGGGTCTGCGCAATACAAATAAATACAAAATAAATAAGAAACCCAATACTCCCTGCTCTAAATTTATATGACATCCTTTTTCTATTTTAGGATGTCGCAAAATATTTAATAACATTTCACAAATAATTCTGTCTTGTATTTGCTCCCTTTCATCTTACATGATGGTATTTAGCTGGACATGAATTTTAAGATATTAGGTTGAGTTATACATTATTATCCGTGATGATGAAAGAAAAATATCAAAGCAATGGTTGAAAAGTTAGTTTGATACAGAAGCATCGCATCAAAGTTCAAAGTTATATAATTTAAATATATGAATTCTTGAAAAAATGCGAATACATACATACATATATATATATATATATATATATATATATGACGTATCAAGTTAAATTAATTTATATAATTTGATACGTCATTAAATTAAATTAATTTGAACAGAGAAAATGACGTATCAAATTAAATTAATTATCCAACTATTACTTTAATATTTCCCATTACCACCAAGTCAAATTAATATCTCAAACACCACCAAAGGATGTGGTGCAGCGGATGGGGCTGCTCTTCCTTTAACCAGAGGTCTCGAGTTCGAGCCCTTGGTAATGAAAAATCCTTGGTAGGGAGTGCTTCCCCCGAAAGGAGCCCTACGCGGCGCGAATCCGGATATAGTCGGGCTCCAATGCGGATACCGGACACCGGGGGAAACCCAAAAAAAATTAATATCTCAAACACTATGTTCAATCAACCACGATCATGTAAAAATGAGACGAGAGAGTAAAAAATGGAAAGCTAATGGAAAAAAAATTACATTGGCTGGTGAATCTGTTACCTGACAAGGAGGATGATTCGCTAAGATTAGCAGTGCTAGCATGTTCTATCTGTATGAGAGAGCCAGAGTTTTGACTTTGAAAATATCGCGAGATTGTTTGCATTCCCTGATATAACGATAGCAACAAGAAGCTAAAAACAGTTTTTTGAAGCAATCAAAATAAAGATACTTTCAGTATTGGTATATTGGACATTTACTCCAAGACAATTTTAAGGCATCCAATCCAAACATGGAATGTCACAATCTGAAAGGGATATAGGTGAAACTCATACAAATGTTTCAGTGCTCTGATCATTGATGCCTGTTCCAGTGGCAGAAAAGATGTGCAAATACCTTACATGGTCTGTTTTTATATGTGAAGCATAACATTGCAACACGTAGAAGGAGAGGAAAGATCTCTTTGATAATCTTTTTTTATGAGGATAGATCTCTTTGATAAATGATGTGATGCTTAAAAGTTTTATTTGACTTCTTATGTTTAGATTATAGAAATATGATCTCAAACCAACCAACAGAGATCTATCAGCCTCAACATAGTAAATCTTTTACATGTTCTAAGGAGGTTGCATAATGATTTCTTTCTTTACTGCAATACATATATTGTTGAAGGTATAAATAATTAAAAAATCTAAATCCAATTACTCAAGTGATGAGCTTTACTAAAACATACTACGCAAAGTATAAATACTTAAACAAGAAGAAAGATGAAGGAAGGAAACCTAAATCTGACTGCTCAAACAATCTGTCATCTTAAAGTCAAGCAACAACAACAACAACAACAAGCTCAGTAATTTCCCAAAAGTGGGATATGGGGAGGGTAGAATGTGCGCGGCCTTACCCTACCCTAGAAGGGCAGAGAGGTTGTTTCCAATAGACCCCCGACCGGAGAACGGATGAAAAAAAGTAATGGCAACAAACAGGAATAACAACAAGATAGAAAAGAACGAAGCCAAGAAAGCAGTTAAACTCTAGGTAGTAATAGTAATCTATGAATAAAAGGATGTCACACTAACACAAATGCTAGCGACACTGAGTAAGACAAAGAGAAACACTCGACTACCTACTAGCCTTCTACCCTAATCTTCGACCTCCAAAAACCCTCCTATCTAGGCCATGTCCTCAGTCGGCTCCAGCTGCGCCATATCCCGCCTAATAACCTCTCCCCAAGACTTCTTACGCCTACCTCTACCCCTCCTGATACCTACTGAGGTTAACCTCTCACACCTTCTAACTGGTGCTTCTATACTTCTCCACTTAACATGCCCGAACCATCTCAACCTCACCTCCCGCATCTTATCCTCCACAGGGGCCACTCCCACCTTATCTCGAATAACTTCATTCCTAATCTTATCCAACCTGGTATGCCCACACATCCACCTTAAGATCCTCATCTCAGCTACTTTTATCTTCTGGACATGAGGGTTCTTGACAGGCCAACACTTTGCTCCATACAGCATAGTCGGTCTAATTACAACCTTGTAGAACTTACCCTTAAGTCTCAACAGCATATTCTTATTACACAAGGAATAGCAAAATGCACAGTTCTTAAGGAAAGTACGAGAGCAATCATATTGAAAAGAACAAGAATGGGGAAGAAAGAAAAGCCTGCGCATTTAAGGAAAGCTAAATGTGTAAGGAGAAACAGGAATCAATACACAGCTGTAATCCATGAAATAAGTAACTTTCTATTTTCTTATATCAAGCAATGAAACAATAGAATGGAGTTTGAAACCTTTTCTTTATTGGACTTCCTCTTCCCTTCCTCCGACTCAAAAGTATCTCTACTCTTTTCAGTAAGGGAGACCCCACTTGATTCAGTCTGATCTTTTTCCCATCTCGGATACTCTTTCTCCCATTTCGGATACACTTCAGCATTTAAAGGATCATAAAAGTCCAATTAAAACAAAAATAGGGAAGAAGCAAAAGATAATTAAGGAAATATTGACCAACTTTTTAGCTATTAGAACCAATAGGAAGAAATACCTGGTGAAGAACATATCAAAGTCTCTTTATCTGGCAGCTGTTCAGGTGATAAAAGAAAGCCCTGCTCAAAAAGACCCTAGATTATAAAGGTTTTATACCGTAGAGGATAATCAAAATGGAAAATACAGAAAGCAGGAATCTCACTGAAAGTCAAAAGAACAGGTCCATCAAATAATTTATAGCACAAAATAAGTCATAGTACTGAAATTGTTATAACTGATATCCCAACTCAATTAAGCAGGCTTCTGAGATTACAATCAGTGTATATGGTTTGCTCCTCTTTCTTTATTAACCAGTAACACTTCTGTCTCATCTTTTGTCTTCCCCCCTTCGGAAAAGGCTACATCCAAATATCCAAATAAGTCAAGCTAAAAGCATAAAAGATTCCTATAACCTATGAAAGTAGGAAGCTCAAGAATGTAGATTCGTGTAATGACGCTCACAAGATAGAACTGACCTGAGCAAAAGATAGGAAGTTCAAGGATGTAGATTCGTACTAGTTAATTGTTTGCAGAGTAAAGAGACATTATTGCTTGAGGCCATTTTCATTATGAAAAATGACAATATGCAATTAGCCACATCACGACTTAGCCCAAGCTCACTGTCAAGTAGGCCAGGTGGCAACTCATATTAATTTTCACATTTATTTTTGTTATACTTGTGTTGCTATTTGATTTTAATCATTTATTATTAGAAATGGATCCTAAAGTGGTAAAAAAAGTGTGTAATAGATCTACTAAGGATAATGCTATGGAGGGGGGTCCTCGTTTGAAACAAATTCTAACCAGTCCGGGTTTAGGAGTTACATATAAGAAACGTATAATCTTGCTTTTCCAGGTTTTCCTAGAACGACGGTCAGAAATAATGTTTGCGATGAAGACTTGCTGAAATATTTGAAGAGAAGAAACTTTGGCCTTCCAGAAATAATTCAAGAAGACAACGATGCATGTAGTGAAATACTATCCGCTGGAGACAGCAGGGACACAGAAGATTAAGTGTTATCAATTTCAAGCGAAGAACCAATAAAAATTATTGAAAATCTCCGTAAATTGAAAAAAAAAATTGTAATTTTATTTTTATAAGTATTGAAATAAAAGTATTGAATATTTTTCATCTCTTGTTCGTATTAATTTTTTTTTGTAATTTTTAATTTAAAATACCCCTAAGTACCCCTAAAGTACCGGTACTGCACTCGTAAGTACTAATACCCTTAGGACCGGTAGGGGTACTGGTAGCGTACCCAAAAAAATACCCTTAACCCTTACCCTTAAATACCGTAAAGAAAAGTACTCGTAAGGAACCTTTCCCTTACCCTTACCCTTACCCTCCCCGTACCCAGAGGCGGATACAGGATTTAAACTCTATGGGTTCAACTTGTAAGATTTTTAACACTAAATCCATTATATTTTTAAAGTTATGGGTTCAAATCTATTATTTTTGCAATTTTAATGAATTTTGACAAATAAATTTCTACTCTGCGTCGAAAGTTATGGGTTCAATTGAACCCGTAACTACCACATTGCATCCGCCTCTGCCCGTACGCTTAACCCTTAATGTCACCGTACCCTCCCCTTAGACAGCCCTAGCAGTAACTATAGCAAGTAGCCGCAGTAAGTTACTCTACTCACACAAAGTTAGCAGGCAAACTAGCATATCCTCCCAAACAGCCTCCAGATAATCCTACTTCATTCGACGTACCACTTTGCCCACAATGTCTCAAAATACTGTAAAGAGTCAACAGTAGAAGGTTTTTGGGCCAGACCTAAATATTTTTACAGGTACATAGCGAAGCCAGTATCATATCTCTAAGTAAAGATGCCCACTTCCATCACCTGATAGTTCGCTATATAGGAGGGTTGAGTAGCCTTTAAGCTTTCAAGCCAGTAAGTGATTGTGCTTTGGTTTTTCCCCTAATGCTGCTGTAATGCTTTTATGTACTCTTTTACTCAATTAACCAACATCTTTTTAAATCTAATATATTGAATTTTCTGCAGTCAGCGAGGATTTATATAGCCTTTTAACTCCGATTCATTAGGGACTGAGGCATAACAGTTGTAGTAATTCGAATTTTCTTCTAAAACCAAACACGGCTCAAAAGTATCATATTTGCATCTATATAAGTATTTCGCAAGTGCAAGTGATTGCAACCCGAGGAGAGGAGTAGACAGAAGAGCAATCTCAACTGACGTTGGTTTGCCTCATGATTCACTTTCCACCAAGCAAAAGCAGCCCCCGTGAAACATGCTTTACGTTGTCTTGGACACTTCTATTGAACCTGTCTCTCAAAAGTTCGGGTAGGTTATGATCCAGGCACATATATTGCAGATAATTGCAGTCAAAGCAAATTATCAGTAAGACATTTAAGAGAAAAAGTGTAAAGAAAATACGTTCCCCACATGCATCACTAAATTGATAAGCTGTTCCTACCCCCCCCCCCCCCCAAACACACAAAATCCCTACTAGCTTTTTGAAATATACCATAATTAATATTCAAAATAATCTGGACTTTATCTGAATCACGACTTGTTAGCATTATATTGTATGGATGATGTTCTTGTATTAGACCAATGCAGATTGAAACAAACAAGAACGACATCAAACCTTTTCTTTACACATCTCCTTGTCCTCTTCCTCTACGCAATGTTTAGTCTCTTTATCTTCCTCATGTCGTGCTATTCCTTCTGTTGACTGCAAAGTTGGATGACCTCCACTTCCTAGACAGTTCTCTGTAAATTCAATTCCAAAAGGTAAGACAATCAATTAACAAAAGAATACCAAAAGACAAATACAGATGATAACTAGCATAGGGGCATACAACCTGAAGGGGACAAAAGTAGAGCATCTTGGAAAAGCTTTTCGCTGGATAGTTTTACTTGAGGGTAAGTTTCCTCTTGGTTTTGAAAATAATTCATGATAGACCGTGTACCCTGCCAACAGAATTAAATAGGAGAATTTAATACCATGACACTAAGCATATGCTAGATGTAAAAATCAACCGGAGCACGAAGCATCCCGCATTCACGCAGGGTCGGGGGAAGGGCCGCATCTCAAGAGGTGTGATGTAGGCAGCCTAATCTAATGAAGCATTAGTGGCCGATTCCACGGCCCGACCCCGCGACCTATAAGTCACACGGAGACAACTTTACCGTTTCTCTAAGGCTCCCATTCAAAAAAATCAACCAAGAAACATATTGAAAAAGAAGTCTCAGTTAAAACGAAACAACAAGAAACCTTATACTCAAGTAAGATTTCCGTAAAACATTTCAATTTTTTTTAATACGATTCACTTTCATGGGTCCAAGCTTCTTAATTGAACTGTCAAATAACAGCAAAGTTGGAGCTCTTAATTAGTAGCTCCATTCAGCTGCACTTGACCTACTTAAACTACCTTATTTAGCAACAGAGAAATTAAGTTTTTCATCCTTTCCTCTTCAAATAACCTCAAATTGAGTAAACTCCTTTTGTCATTTGGACGTTTATTTAGGATTAAAATTCACCATAAACAGATCTCATGGCACTTCCTCTTGTTTATTCGATCCCTATAGACTTTAATCTGAGATTACCTTTTTGTTTATCTTTGCTTCCACACAACAAAAATTTATAGGTAACTCGGCGAATACACGTAATATAGTTCACCTTAAAGGAAGATCTAGCACAGAGGATATTACTCATTCCGTGGATATTCATTTGTTCAAGGTTATGTTTTAATAACTGTGCAATTTCACACCATAGTTGCTTCAAGAACCTGAACATATTTCAAACTGAGAAATAATCAATGAAAATAGAACATATGGTAAATCTGAAGAGGCTGCTTTGAGTTAGAGTAGAGTTTCATGTTCACTTGCCACAAAGTTAAGCAGCTTAATGTTACTAATATACGTAAACCAGATTTGGGAAAAACCGCCTGAGGCATATACACCGCAACAGGAATTCTGTCAGCAGCGACAATGCTGCCATTATGCAGGGAAAGTCATTTGACCAAGTTCATTAATTAAAAAATAATTCCTTTCTGAAATAGAGACCTGTTAAGAACCTACGAGACAAGTAGCAAAAATGCGATCAACAACAAACAAATTTAATTTGGATGGAGTCATGGAGTTCGGGATAAGCAATTAGAGAGTGAAAAGCATCACAAAATAAACTTTAATAAGAATTAAGCCATTTACTGATTATATCCAAACTGTAACCTGAAAGAAGCAATCATGAAAAGGAATTTATCATATCAAGTATTAATAGTAGTAGTGCAATCCCTTTCTCATATATCATTACAACAACAACAAACCCAGTATAATCCCACAAGTGGGGTTTTGGGAGGGTAATGTCTACGCAGATCTTATCCCTACCTTGTGAAGATAGAGAGGTTTCCGGTAGACCTCGGCTCAAGGAACAGCGAAAATAAAGCAACAAACAATTGCAACAACAAGGTAACAGGGTAATGGACTTTCTCATATATCATTAAGAGAAACAAAAGCCATCTTTATGAGCTTCCATTTGTTATTTCGGTACTTCGGTTTACTCATCTCAGAGGTTTATGTTGTTTCAGACAGGAATTTATTCCATGGAGATTTGGACATTGGATAAATATGAATGGAAAAGGATGAAAGAAGTACATATTGTTACTAGCAACTTAGAACTTACAGATGGTATGGCTACTATTTTACTGGCTGAAACAGAAAGACCAGTTATTCCCCACCCACAGTTTTGATTTCCTGAAGTCTTCAAATTGTACTGGCCAAGATATTCACGCAATCCTGCTTGAAACAGGCTGAGGGCATCTTCCTTAATCTTGGCAGTCCCATACCTTAGTGGACATGACTTTGATGGAAATTTCTTGAACGAATCTGCGTCATTTGACTGCGCATAGCACATATTCAAGTATGCAAGTTCAGGAAACTCTAAATTGCTAGGGAACTTGCAAATAGTCATGTCATCATGCTGGAGATATGACAAGAAAAGCCAACCTTGTGTGCTTGAGCATGTAGAGTAAGAGTATGTGCAATCCGCTTATTCTGTTCTAGATCAGACTGAAGACGCTCACTAAGTTCTTCGCAGAGTTCACTGAGCCACTTTTCAACCTAGAAACAAATCAATAAGGTAGAGTAGGTCCAATTACAATTGGTAGATGAAACATTTAGTAACTCAAAACAAAATTCCAATGTAAATGTACACAAAGTAAAAATCAGAACATCGTTGCTTCTATTTTTCCTAAAATCAGTTATTTCTAACTGATAAGAGTAAGATAGATCAGTGATCATGCAGAAGATGGATGTTCAGTTTGGGAAAAAGTTAAACTTACAGAAGCAACAGTTTTAAGAGCTCGAGGTCCAGGGAATGTCTTTCCCGAACCATGACTGTTGGGAAGAAGGCGTTCCTTGACCTCTTCCCCACTAATGCCCCTGGCTGTATTCCATAACCAGGAACTGTACAAGTTAAGCACAACAAAGTCAGTAGGTCACAGAGGGGCTATCTGATAAGACTAAAAATTAAAGTATTAAATCTCAAGAACCAAAGGTGTTGTCAGTGGACAACAAACTTAAGTTAAGCAATTGTAAGGGAAAAATTTTAAGTTGATCAATCATAAACTAAATATTGAAAGGTCACGTTGGTGGAATATATCATTGAATACAAAATTGACTTAAAGTTAATTTTAGGTTATGCGAGCTTATTACTTGGCACTCTCTCCATCCAAGTCCATCCAAGAAGAATTGCAGGGTTCGAAGTACAAGCGTCAATCAACTTATCTAGTAAATTAGGCCATTCATTTCTTAATATTTTTGAAAAAATTAAATATTTAATGAACTACATTAAAAAATCATTCATTTCTTAATATTCAGAAACTTTTCACATATTTAAAAAAGTACAGCAAAACCTAGGTAACATGATTTTTATAGTTAAAAATGTTTTTAAGATGTTCTGAAAATTATATTCAAGGAAAAATAGTTTGATTCTCCAAATAATAATAGTGGCATTCTCATTGGGCTGGAGGGAGTAGCGTATAATTTCAACTTCAAATGCTTACCAAAAGCTAATTTTTTGTATAACAGGAAAACACCATAACGAAATACAGTTAATTTCCTCAACTGATTAACATACAAAATAATAGTTAATTGTCAATTTGTTAATGTGCATTTGCATCTTTTCTTTTTCTTTTATTTAATATTTAATCTCAACCTTGTTCAACTTGTTAATGATAGAATCAATTTCTTTGACATGCCATCGGATTTTATTTAGAACTTTATGTATTACTCTAATCATTTTTCTTATCTTATTAAACATGCCAAATATGTGGTCACTCAATAAATTCTAATTTCGAGCGGTTGAATTAGGTTATCGAGAAATGAAATTTTTAGAATGATTTTCAATCAACTTCACTAGTGTCTATCAAGATATAAAAAGAACCTTATTGAAAAAAACAAGAAACTTTTAGGATAAACATAATTGACCAATCTGATTACAAAACTGCAACCAAGTGTTCTGCTCTTTGTCTATGCACATCAAACAATTTTATAAAAACAGTATAAAAAAAATTGTAAAACTGAAGTACGCATATATATATATCAGCTCAGAAGCAGAACACAAGAAGAAGCAACAGAAAAAATGATGATTTTAATTGGGAAAAGCAAAATCAAGGTTATCAGTACACTGGCGTTTCAACAACAACAACAACATACCCAGTAAAATCCCACTAGTGGGGTATGGGGAGAGTAGAGTGTACGCAGACCTTACCCCTACCCCGAAAAGGGCAGAGAGGCTGTTTCCAGGAGACTCTCGGCTCAACAGGAAAGGCAATAATATCAGAAAAGAAATAAGCGAAAAGACATGTAACAATAAAAGATACCAGAAAGAAAATAACCACAACAAATAAGTGAAAGGACAATAACACAAAATTATGCAAAACACCAATGTGAATACAACAAAGAGCGCTAACAAACCTACCGAAACTCTAACAGACTACCTGGTACAAAGAGGGAAGAACTCTCGACTACCCCCTAGCCTACCATCCTAATGCTCGACCTCCACATGTTCCTACCAAAAGTCATGTCATCGGAAATCTGAAGTCGTGCCATGTCCTGCCTGATCACCTCGCCCCAATACTTCCTAGGCCGCCCTCTGCCTCTTCTCGTACCTGCCAAAGTCAACCGCTCACACCTCCTAACCGGTGCATCTAGGCTCCTCCTCCACACGTGTCCGAACCATCTAAGCCGTGCTTCCCGCATCTTATCGTCCACGGGAGCCACGCCCACCCTCTCCCGAATATCTTCACTCCGAATCTTATCCAGCCTAGTGTGCCCACACATCCATCTCAACATCCTCATTTCTGCTACTTTCATTTTCTGGATATGTGAATTCTTGACTGGCCAACACTCAGCTCCATACAACATGGCCGGTCTAACCACCGCTTTATAAAACTTACCTTTGAGTTTCGGTGGCACATTCTTGTCACACAGGACTCAGACGCAAACCTCCATTTCATCCACCCCACTCCTATACGGTGCGTAACATCCCCATCGATCTCCCCGTCTCCTTGGATAATTGACCCTAAGTACTTAAAACTTTCTCTCTTGGGGATGACCTGTGAGTCAAGCCTAACTTCCACATCCGCTTCCCCCGTCACATTGCTGAACTTACATTCCACATATTCTGTCTTAGTCCTACTCAACTTGAAACCTTTAGACTCTAGAGTCTGCCTCCATACCTCCAGTCTCCCATTAACGCCGCCTCGCGTTTCATCAATCAGAACTATATCATCAGCGAACAACATACACCAAGTTGACCAACTTTTTAGCTAATCCAAACGTCCCTATAAGACTTAGATATGGATAATTCCACCTAAATTAGAAGTATGGGAATAATTCCTAAACTGTAGTGAGTTGAGCTATCTTGAGACAGTTTGGTCATCAAATTCCTTATTTTCATTCTTTATTTTAATTCACATTTTTAACTCAACTAGTGGTCTTCTTGCCTTTAAAAAGGAATCAGCCCCAACATGGGCAATGATAGACAGACCAAAGATTTACGAAAACTAACACATCTGAGACTGCGAGTAGATTATCACCCAGTATTTATTCCATAATACTCTTGTAGCTTCTCTTCTGAAAACTGGAGCAGATCCCCAACAGTGTTCACACCTAAGTCAATTTGCAAAGAAGTTCCAAGTTTTCCTCCAAGCTGTTTCCTGCGAACAAATTGTATACCAAGCCATGTTTAAAAAAAAGTATTTAGAAGAATAAACAAGCCAATATATATCATTTACATTATGGAAACCATGTGCGACACTGTAGAGCAGTCAATGGAAAAGACCGAAATTAAAAAGAAAAGAATTCAACCTCAATAAAAGTAAGACATAATTAAGCAGCCAGCGTACTATTAACTATTCAAAAGATGGTAATAAGGTGTCAAGAGAGGATTTCTGTGCAAACCCCTACATTTTCTTTATAGGCAGAGTTTCGAGTAATTTGCTGATGGATGAGAAAGGCACCAAAGTTTGCTGAGCAGGTTTATTCATTCCACTTGCTAGTTTGGCCAGCATCTGCTCACAATTTCATACTCAAGTTACTAAAAACCTTCTTCCAAGATAAATCATCAAATATAAATTGATGCATTTTTCATTTAAACAGAGAACTATATCCACCTTATTATTGTTACAAAATATTAAATATTTCCACCTTATTATGAGCAATGCCTGCAGAACAAGTGAATTCAGTCTCTTCTAATACTTGCAGCCGAAGTTCTGCAACAATAAGGGCTCCACAGGCTAACAACTTATCACGGTGACTAGCGTCACTTCTGGTGAGCCAATGTCTGACATTCTCTCTGGGATCGGTACCAACCTGTGCAGGAACTAAGTTAGCAGATATCAGCAGAACATGAGGGATATGGATAAAATATAAAAATATAAGTAATACAGAAAAAAGCAAAAACGTATAAGAAAGGCCAATACGAAAAAATTTGCAACATTATTTTGCAGAAGTCACATCATATTATGCAGGCATGCCATATGTATTTTCTTATCTCCAGTAGTATCATTTCATAACATTATAGAGTTTACTTTCTGTTCTAGCATTTCATTACTTGAAATGAGAAAATAGGCCTTCATTGATGAATGAAATGCTCTGCTGATTTATCGGAGCCTGAAACAACCTTCTAGACGAAATCCAACTTCAATACCCTAAACTAATGTTGCTCGTGCATGCTATTAAACTAATATTGCTCTTGAATGCCATTACTTGATCGCACCAAAGTTTCTTGCAGTTAGGAGGAAAAACAAACAAAAAAAAGCTGCTGCTTTAAGTGACATCTACTACCTCAAGACCCAAAACATGTGATTTCACTGCTTCTTCACTGATTGTTTCCAGACACTCAGGAGGATTATCTGCCAACATTGCTTCAGCAGCTATAGTGAGATCCAAATACACTTCATCAATTGAAGCACGCTCACATCGGCCTCTTCTTGAGAGTATGGCGACAACCTGAAATTATGTAATGGTATGATTATCAGCACACATTTTTCGTTCTTAAAGCACAAGGATAGCTTTCAGTATCAATAGACCTCTGAGCCTGCATTCCTGTAAGAATTTAGGTCAGCTTTACCACGGGCAACTGGGACTTGAACAAGATGAATCTCCGGACAAACTTCCTTTGCTTCATCACCTCGCATTGAGCTTAAACATGTAAATATTTCAGTGCTCAAACACTTTGATGAGTATCAGTAGTTCTCCAAGAATAACTATTTAACTACTCATACAGCCAACGCTACACACACTCACCGCTTCACCCCAAATTTACGAGCCTCATAACTGACAGCGATCAGCCCCCCACCTTGCCAAGAATTGTACTGTACAACAGCAGCGGGTTGACCTCTTAGACTTGGTTGCTTTCGCTGCTCCACTACACACAGTGTTACCAGTTAGCCAGACTATAGAGATGATATCATGGCATAACAAAATTGAAAAAAGCTAAAGATAAATACACAAGAAAAAGATGGTAACATCACTATTATTAATAAAAGATGGTGACATCACTATCTCATGATCAGTACAGAAAGAACACTGTTCAATACAGAGATATATCAGAATTCTAAATTAAATTCTCAATATGAAGATTGTAATGCTTACATACACCAATAATCAGACCATTATATAACCCTAATTGAAAATGCTGACCACGGGGTCTTTTGAACGCTTTCACATGTGAAAATTCAACTTTCTGTGTTGTAGCTTTTCATTAAAATTCCATAGATGATTCCAGTAAGAAAAAAAAAGGAATGGAAATAATTGTTAATTTTTAAAAGGGAAATTAAGAGAATCTATTTACAGTGTCAAGTCTGCTTATGCCCTACTATCAGTACAAATTAATCAAATGTGATGAAAATCCCAAAATTTTCAGGTATGGGAAAGAGAAAAATGAGAACCTTGAACATAGAAGCAATCCATGTCGACATGAGCAATAACTCTAGAATCCGATGACTCAGGCCTTGCCACCGGCATATTTCTCTCTATCGTCTTTTCTATTTTTCCCACCAATTCCTAGGCGGGTTACATTTGAACTTTTATACCCTAATATATAGGGAAAAAGTTTCAAATTGACCATGAACTTTGAGAAATGATTCAATTTTACCTCTCTTAGTAGTTCCGGTCAAATCGACGTTTGTCGTTACAAAAATGAAGGTAAAAGGCCAAAATTGTCCCTATATAATCGAAAAAGGGAAACTTACACAAATGTCCAAAATAAATCTCAACTTACTAATTTGTAGCCATTAGTTATAGACTTACCAAAACTAGCCAACAAAAATTGAAAAACCAAATAATAGTGTTCTTTCTCTCAAAGAATCACATGCAAAAATCACATTCCATATTTTTAAGCGTGATTAGCAACATTAGATACAAGACGGAAAGGAAATTTCATGGACGGAGTAGCAAATAAGGTGATGAAATACAAAAATCTATAAAATATTCCAAAAATCAAAACAAAAAAGGAACTTTTTCAATGGGTATAGTTGAAATTCATTGAAAGTATATAGATAAGTCAATATACAAAATTTGAGGAAGATTGGAGGTGATTTGGACTGGTTTTGTATCAACATTCGTAATTAAATCGAGTTCAAAAAAGTCTTCTGCGGCACATGTATCAAACATGTATCACACACACAGGGATACATGGATATACATGTGATACACCATTGATACAAATATGATACATATGTGATACACAATGTGATACACATATCTTTTTTTTCATGTTCAGCTTTTACTTCGAATTTTCAATTCAAACCACCTCAAAACTTCACCAAATCATCCCAAAACTGAGATTCAAGCTCCTTAAGTTGTGCCCAATCTATTCTAATAACACCCACTCAAAACGAAGCAAAAATTTGATATTTTTTTGCTATAAATAGCTAATTGGCTAATTTAGCTAATATTAGTAATATTTTATCAATTGGCCAATTTATGTAATGAGCTACTTATAAATGGACATAGCTGGTAATTTTCCACCGAAAAATTAGTCACGTTCATATCTGTTTCTACTTTCGGTCTAAATATACGCCTGCCATTAGTAAAGTATACCAAATCGTGCCTAACCCTAACAGATTTCCAACGTGGCAGTAGGACCCCTCACTTAATGTGCCAACTGGGCAAATACTAACCCGAATCTCATTTTTTTTGACCCAACTATCCAACTACTTTATGGTTCCACCTCTCTCTCTCTCCCTCTTAATTGAAAGACAACTTTTCTACTTTATCCTCAGTTCTTCTTTTCCAGTTCTTGTTCTTCCTTTGTTTATTCTTCTTTTTATCCTCTTTCATTTTGGAGCTGGGAAATTATGGCCGATGATAACATAACCATGGTTTTTTGGTTTCTTATCTTATGTACAAAAAGTTCGGTGGGAATATTTGACTTTTTCTTTTGTGATTCTTGATTACAGGATCTTGGCAATAGTGTTAACTTCTAGTTGAGAAAATATTTGAGAATGCCGACCACCGAAAAATCCCTCTGGAGAGTGAAAAAACTCGGATGACTCCATCCCCATTTATGTTATTTTTCTCATTCTTTTTCTTTTCTGTTTCAGCATAATCTCACCCCTCTTTTCTGTTCCAACATCTATTAGAAATTTATCTGCAATTTACAGTCTACCGTAGTCCTTTTGTTCCATAGATTATGGTGATTTTTGATAGCAGCTATAATAGTGGTGAAAGCGGTGGGTTTTGATTGTATTTCATGGTGGGTCTCCATTGGAGATGGTGAATAAGGGCAGTGGGCAATAACACTTTTTTTATGGTGGAATGAAGTGAAGTGATGATCAGGTATAAAATTTGTGGTGGCTTTGGTGAAAGAAGGTGGTGGATTGGTGTTTTAATGAAGGTGCAGGCGGCAGCCGGCAAGGGGTTGGGAAGGCTGTGGCTACAACTTTTATATGGTTCATCATTAGATATATAAATCCTCAAGTTCCTTATGTTCATGTTTACAAATCTGAGATACTTTTAGGTTTTGATTTCTTTTCTTCTGTTTATTCATTTTTCTGATCTTCAACTTTTCACAATAAGAGGGTAAACGGGAACTTTTTGTACTTCATTCCCGGGGCTAGGTGGGGTTTGGTAGGGCTCTCCATAGATGACTTGCGTATTGTATCGTGCCACCTTATGGTAGTTACTGGTCGATATTATTGCATGCCATTTAATTTATGGTTTTATGTTTAGATAATTATTTATGCGATTTCTGCTGGAGTCACTAATGCTTTTTTGTTTTTCTTTTTCCTTTTCCTTTTCTTTCCTGAGCCGAGGGTCGATCGAAAACAGCCTCTCTGCCCTTTCGGGTAGGGGTAAGGCCTTTGTACGTGTTACCCTCCCCAAACTCCACTTTGTGGGACTATACTGGGTAGTTGTTGTTGTTGTTGTAGGGTAAACGGGAAGGGAGGGGTCAAAGAAATGGGCATGGGTGAGCATGGGTCTCTACAATTCGGGTTGGTATTTGCCCAGTTGGCACATTAAGTGAGGGGTCCTACTGCCACTTTGGAAATTTGTTGGGGTTAGGAATGATTTTGTATACTTTACTAACGGTAGGCGTATATTTGGACCGAAAGTAGAAACGAGTATAAACGTGACTAATTTTCGATAGTATAGGGACAATTTTGGCCTTTTACCTTCATTTTTGTAACGACAAACGTAGATTTGACCGGAACTACTAAGAGAGGTCTTTTTACCTTATTGACCAACTCTAGAAGCACAAGAGTGTCCTTTTTAATAAGGGAAAGGTTAAATTTGTCCTTAAACTATACAACAACAATAAACCAATGTAATCTCACAAGTGCGATCTGCAGAGGGTAGTGAGTATGTAGTCTTACCTCTACCTTGTGTAAATAGAGAGGGTATTTTCGATACACTCAACTCAAAGCAAGCATACAAAATCACAATAGTATATAGAATAAACGTAGTAGTATAAAAGTCAGAAAGGCAGTAACAACAACAAGATAGTAGAAAAAAACAAAATATAAGCAACATCAGGTAGTAATAGAATTCTAAGAATATGAAATACTAGAATAACACTACTATTACTGGAATGAAAGGAAAGACGCTCAACCGCCTACTAGCCTTCAACCCCGATCCTTGTCCTTCACAGTCATCAAGGATCATGTCCTCAGTGAGCTGAAGATGAGCCTACCTCTCCTCAAAACCATTATCGCCAGTCTTTCACACCTCCTCATTGGAACATCCATACATCTCATCTTCATATGCCTGAGCTATCTTAATCTCGCTTCCCGTATCTTGTTCACGACGGAGGCCACACCTACCTTATCCCGAATATTTTCATTCCTAACCATGTCTATGCTTGTATGCCCACACATCCATCTCAGCATCCTCGTCTTCGCTACTTTCATCTTTTGGACATGATAATTTTTGACTGGCTAATAGCACAACACACAACATAGTCGGTCTAACCATCACTTTGTAGGACTTACCTTTAATTCTTGTGTCACGATCCAGCCTAGCACCGTGACGGATAACCAACACTAAGTGCCGATCGTCACTAAACTTGCTGATAATCTACTAATAAAGAATATAAACTGATAAACTAAACAAGCATAAGCATAGTTGATAAGAACTGTACAATCTGGAAAGTCGACAAGGCTAACATAAGCTGACATATAAAAATATATTAACTGCACAGGTGCATATCTACAGGTCTCTAGGAGTGCTGAACTGAACAAGTACTGGATGGGACAGGGCCTCACCGTACCCAAACAAGCTGACTATACACATAACTCTGGAAGTAAGCCAAGTGACTCCAACAGCTGGTGGTAGGGGCGGGCATACAATCCGAAAGATCGAATTCCGAACCGAACCGAATTAATTTGGTATTTCGATGTATATTCGATTTTTCGGTACTACTTCGCTATCGATTTTTCAGTTTTTTTGGTATTTTGGTTCGATCCTCAGTATTGAGGTTTTGATATTTTGGTATACCGAAATACCGAATTATTTAAGGAACATTCCCTTATTGCCACGCCCAAGTTAACAAATCCCAGCCCAAAATTTCAACTTTGTTACCCCTAGCTAGTACCCCAACAAGACTAAGCCCAATGCCACAACCTAGGTTTATGTTCTGGTTCACTTTCAATCTTTATCATATAAAATTTGTGCCGTACTTTATATTTATTTTTAGAGGTGACGTACTTCGTGTTGTAAGAGCTAATTTTGCCACTGTTTGGGGCTTCACTTTGGATATTATTTGTGAATTCTTGTCCATCCCTAGTGCTGAACATGATGATGGACGACTTGTGCTTCTTGTTATGCCAGTTTTTTCTTCCATGTTATTATACATCACTTTCTTGGTTCCTTCTTCTTGTTAATTTGTTGGATTTCTTTTGAGGTTGAGAAAAAGAAAGAAAGAACAATGACGTGGTTGATGAATTTGTTTGGAATTGGAGGAACTACTCAAAGGGTTTTTATATATGTATAGATAAGGGAGCAGAAGGGGTTTCTCTTTTATTTTTTATTTTTTAAATCAAGGACTAAAGAGAACATTTTAAAAGGAAATGAAGTTGTCTGATGGAAGCAAGGACTGGATGAATCCTGTTCTGACATATGTTAAAGAGAGAGTCAATAGAATACAGAATTGGTCCCAATTAGTCCTACATTTTATGAATATCAAAGAGAGATCCTTAGAGTTACAAAAATTCAGAGTCGAAATCAAACTACATTGGTACGGTATTTGTTATCCATAATTGATATATCGAATACCAAAGTACCGAACTGTACTTTATAAATACCATACCAAAGTACCGAACATCCACCCCTAGTTGGTGGATGGCCTACTGATGTGGCTCCAGCGATGATCTATCCATACCTGCAGGGCATGAAACGCAACATCCCGGAAGGGACGTGAGTACGATATATACAAAGTATGTAGAGTGGAAAGCATACTAAAGTATGACTGTAAGATGGAAATCTGAATATACGCTGAAAGCTAAATAAGAGTCTGAACTAGCAATTAATTTGGAACTGAACCGAAGTTTAAGCTAAATTGTGCTAAAACTGAACTATTGTTTGAACTAGTACCTTTTTGGCGTTATGGGCTATATCC